CCGTAAACGCTCGTGGCAGATGTGTGTTTACGGCGTGGCTTTTACTATTTACCGCTGCTGGATGCATGTGTTAGGTGTTGATCACATTGAACAAGCCGAAGGATTCAACACTAGGATCCCAGAACGCCCGATCGTAAGGGGAGTCAGGCATCTACAAGGCAAACTGACGCCTTGACGCTGGTGACAGCCTCGCGGGCGCTGATGTTTCATCGCTGGAAGGTCATGATGCAGATCCACGGTATTACTACCTGGTTGCGTTAATATCTTGTAAAGACAGAGTCCTCTCCTTGATGAGCCGATGAATCAAGGGAAACGCAAGTAGAACTAGGTGTTCTATATTTCATACACAAGCCATAACAGCAAGTAGTTGTATATGACGACAAAAACAACGAACACCCAACTACATAACATTATAAATGTTATCAACCAAGGAGCATACATGAAGTCAATAGTTTGATGGCCTCTATTCGGATTCCAATGTACACTGCCGAGTGTTTAACTTTTCCCATCTGTATCATGCACACATGAAAGGGTTGGCAACATCCGAGCTACAACATTATATCATTCGCACTACTTGATATCCATGAATGTTCTTCGCACAAGCGCACCCAAAAGACATCGCCGGAATGATCGTGCATGCTGAAAGTAAATGAGTGCGAGAGCAGCTCATATGTCAAAGAGTGCGTCCAAGATCCCGAGCCCAACATTGTTCACCACCCCATCACGAACGCTCTGACGGCACACTAAAGCCAATTAGAAAATCCTTCTCGAAGCCGTTGTCCAGACCCTCCATACTCTCCTAGATTCGGGATGCTTCGTCATTGGCCGCGTCCATGCCCTCCGTACTCTCCTCGGTTCCGGATGCTTCATCTCCTGTCGCGTCTATGCCCTCTGTAGTCTCATCGAATTGGGTTGATTCATCTCTGACAGCGTCCACGCCCTCCGTAGTCTCCTGGATCGCAGTTTCTTCAGCGGCGTCGTTAATGGTGTCCTCTTCATCCGCGCTCTCCCTGAGCCTAGCACGGTCTTGGTGCTCTTCCCAGGGATTCCCCGACAACTCCTCTCCGAACACCCTACTACCCCTCCGCCTCAGACCCCTCAGTTTGAGCGTGAGTTTCGGTCGTGTCGTCTTTTCTTCCATGGGGACATCAACATCCTCTGTCTGGACCGCCGTGACACTGCTGCGACTGCTGTTACCCTCACTTCCGTCTTCATCTTGGGGGTCGGGCTTAACTGGAAGGCCGAGGTATGTGTTGACATCCCTCAGGATGCTGCCCCGGTAACGACTTTGCATGTCTCCGGTATTGTTCATATGGGTTTTGAAGTCAGGGTACGTCTCACATAGCTCTCCCCATGTGGTGCTGTCTCCCGGAACGTCGTTCCTGTTGAAACCCCCGCCACGGGGTGAATCCTGTGCGCCGATATAGTGGACATCTCGCTGAGACCAATGAGAGGCTAGGGCGTCGAAAAAGAGTCTTTGGAGTAGTTCCATCCCGGCGGAAGCCTGGCTGTGGCGATCTTGTCTTGGGGGAGGCGGGGAGCCAGCAGACGGTCTTCTTGCAACAGGACCGATGATCGCGATACGACGAAGGCTCTCAGCGGTGGTGTTAGCGCAGATATACGCAATATCACTCGCTCGAAGTAAAGATTGTTTCGCGTCGGATCTTGTCGACCGGGCGAGTGGCTCGACGAGCTTGTGAATTTGCCGCATAGCGGCTTCCCAGTATACATCCGCTTCGAGCTTAACCCCGAGTAGGCAGGCATCAGTATGTGCACGTAGGCTACGATAACCGGTAACAACTGTGTTCGGACTGTATACGCTCGATTCCATGTACGGAACGAAATCGGCAAAGGCGTTGGGTGTGATAGTTGGAAGATGGATTTCGGAAATCCTTTTGTCTGCGGCGATTATTCCGTCGAACATGCTTGAATGTCGTATTAGACGTGCTTTGGGTATATGCCAGGTTTGTTGATTTGACTCTGGTCCGACGATAATCTTCATTGTGCCTGGAACTTCTGGAGCACTTGTGACGGATGGATCGCCGGATCGGTACGGACGGGTGGTTTCGGGCTTCAAGTTGAATGTCTTCTTGTCCGAGCTACGGACGGTGCTTATGTAGCGTCTATTGTACATGTTCGTACTTCTAGCGGGAAGTGCCATATCCGCTGGCTCGGCGTGTGCGCTTCTTCGTTGGCCGATCATTGGCGAGGCGGGAGGTGGGGAGCGGTGTAGTATTTGTGATGTGCCGGGTGATGAACGTTTCTATGATATGTAGGCTTTTCGGGTGCAAGTGACGGTGCGCAAACGGACGCAATATCGCGTGCGTACTCTGGGTGACTGGCGATAGTGAAAGTGACCCCAATATAAGCGTTGCGTTGCTGATAAAAGTGAACGGGTACGGATGTGTTGCAGTAAACATGTGATGGTAACGGAATGTGATTAGACGAACTTGTTATGATGATGGATGTGTGAGGGAAATGATACATCGAGAAGTTGACTTATGGGGACAGCGCTGGTGCTGGCGATATGGGCAACAACGACCAGGTTCCATAGTACTGCGACCGAGCGAGGGTCACTCGCGATTGCCGCAATAAGTACAATAGCCATTCGAGCGGAGTATGGAGTATGCATCGGGAAATGAAGGAACGAGAGAAATCGCAAGGTTAGTATGCTCGCAAGACACGGACAACGACGACCCGGAGTGAAGTGTTGGAAGTGAGAGCATCGCAAGGTAAGGCATCGTTGTGGCTAAGCCGTATCAGGCAACCACGACCTTGCACATCCATGACTGATCACGCAAGCGCCTTCCCATCTACCTCGACCATCACGACCCTTGATCCCACCTGTTCTCGCTCCAACCCACCCGTATCGCCCCTCCCTGCATAACGCTCACCAGCACGCCACTTCTCACCGAAAGTATAAAATACCCACGGTACGGGCGCGAAAGCAAGAGCGATAAACGCAAGTAACGAGAAAGACCAACCCACATCAAGCTTCTGATACATCTTATGCGAGAAGAGGGGCGCAAGACCGCCGACGAGCGAGCGCATGACTGAGCAGGCGGCCATGCCAGATGCGGAGTGGACTGGGTAGGCGTCTAGGATGTATGTGCCTGTGAAGAACTAGATGAGAGTTAGCAGTTATACACCAAGTCTTGAGATACAACTCAAGACGATACATGAGTTGAGGAGGATGAACTTACGATAGCGCTCATAGACCCAGCACCAAACACCGCCGTTCCGATCAATGGCGCAATCCAGTGCACACCATACTGAGCCGTCCAAGCATAGATGAACAACCCAATACTCACAAGTGGGAACCAAAATATCATCGGTAGCAATCTGTTCTCTGGTCTCATGTCGCCCTTGAGTGCCTTCCGCTTGACGAGGCTGTCGCTAATTGCAGCGCCTCCAAGCATACCAATGAGGTTGCCGACAGCCGTACCGAGGTAAGCAAGGCCCAGATTTTTGCGCGCCCATCCGTAAGTCTCGACGAATGTTGTCGGGATAGTCGTGTACAGGATATATAGGGATCCGTATCCGATAGCCGTGAGCAGCGAGGTGAAGAAGATCGGTCGAGACAGGAAAAGCATGCGTAGCGGCATGATCATCGCCGTGCGAAAAGCTACCAACTTGGTCGTCCCAGCGTCCAAATCAGACTTGGCCCTTAAATCCTTATTTCCCGTGTGTTTCCGCAACTGTGCAGCTTTTCGACGGAGTAGAACCGGTTCATACGTCTCCGACAAACATACCATGCTGAGCGCCGTACTCACCCCGCCCAAAATAGCAGTGAGATAGAATATCCACCGCCACCCTCTCGCAGCGTTGAGGTAGCTACCCGCTGTAGGACTAATCGCTGGACCGAGATTATACGCCAATCCTATCAAGGCCATGACCCCCCCGCGTTTCTCTTTCACCCAGAGATCACCGATGCTGGATGGCGCGAGGGCGAATACGCTACTACCGCCCACGCCGGCGAGGAAGCGGAAGACAGCCAAGGTGCCGAGAGAGTTGGATCGTCCGCATGCGAAGGTGCTTACCGTGAAGAGCACGTTACATCCGTGGTACAAAGGCAGTCGGCCGTATTGCTCCGAAAGGGGACTTATGAGAAGGGGACCGAACGCGTAGCCTAGGACGTAGATACTCAGGACGAAGGCAGAGAGGTAGGCATCGGTTGATGCGAAGTCTCTTATGATGTCTGGCATTGCTGGCGCGACGATGGAGGACGTGAAAGGTCTACTGAAAGTTAGCGGGTTGTGATTATAGTATGAATGAAACAAGACACTCACGATACAAAACACATGATGAATATGCAACCGATATTGATGTCCTTCTTCCACGAGAGGAAATTTCTGGGGTTTGCCGCATCGTCGTTGCCGTGCCAGTCGACGACACTCAACTGTCTTTCCTTGCTACGTCTGAGGGTGCTGGGTGTGTCTAGCATGTTGGAGCCCGGACTTGTGTTGTAGCTGTTGTAAATGCTCGGTAGCTCTTCACTCCTATAAAGCTCCAGAAATTCTTTTCGTGTGGAACTGTCACTCATGACGTCCGCCAAAGGGCAGGAGTGGATTCGAGTAACAAAGAGTTTCGGGTTCAGCGATCAGGCGTAGTGGGAGCAAGGAGGGGACAGGAAAGCCGAATTGGTCTACGTTTGAGTAACGTCGTTCACGTGAGGCGTCTTGACCAGCCCTGTGATGGGGTTACGAGATGTGATGGGCACGTCATTTAGTCAAGATGAGTTCACGTTTGAAGAGTTGTCGCTGCCGCGTGGAGGACGCTAACACCCCAGGGCTTTCCACTTCCTATCTTCACGGAAGGAGTCACTCGGAGTGTTCCCAGTTCACAATCGGCAAGTGGAAGGAAAGCGGTGCAAACAGCTGGTAGTGCGAAACCAGAAGGACGCGAAAATTGGTGCGATCTCGGCATTTCTTCTTGCTTCCGACGGGCCCGCTACTTACATTAGCATGAGAACGAAAACGTCTGAAGTCAACCAACAAGTACTACTTGGCACTCTCGACTTGTACAGGATATTTCTCCAAACTCTCATACCACTGAAGCGTACTTCCAATCATGAAAGCCCAACTACCCCAGAAGGTACTGAGTGACGCCTGATATTGCGCCCAGCTCCGAGTATCGTAGCCAAAAGCCGGGCACAGCGTGAAGCCTATACCGCCTATGAGGTTCCAGGCCCCGACCCACCATCCCAGCGTTCGAGGAGCAGGTTTCCACCATTTGGACTGAGTCTCGATCATGAACAGGGCTCCGGAAATGATGAAACCTATGCCGCCAACGACTTGAGTAGTCCAGTAGAGGATTATAGTAAGGGTTTGCGACATCTGATCGTATATGCCGGGCAGTGCAGTCAGGCCCGCGATCCAGAAGATTGTTGCGCCGAGCAGTTGGGACATGGACGCTATAAACCCGAGATTGTGAATGTAGTGGGTCCGTAATTCTTCGTTTGACGGCCACCAGACCCAGGAACGCTCTTGCGGCTCCAGATCGGGCTTTGGTTCGGCGATTTGTCGGGTCCTGACAGCATGCCGTTTGTTGTGATGGTGCGTGCAATGCGACTTTGACGGCCGCAGCTCTACGCGTACATCCCCCTCCTCTTCATGCGATAGGATCTGCTCCACCGCCCATCCGAAGCACCCCGATCGGCCCTCATTCACAGCTTCTGCTACAAGGAGGAATGACCCCACCTCGAAGATGCAGACCCCGACGAACGCTGTTATGCCCCCACCATACAATTCCTCGTTTGTGAATTCCGAATCGGGTCGTACCAACGGCAGGAATACGAAAAAGGCATTGAACAACCATACCACGCTGCCCAATGTGAAGACAAAGGCAACGTCGAATGATATATCCCATACGGGGAAGTATGTGAACATACGCCAGACGTTGCGTGCAACGCTACGAAAGGAGGCAGTCGGACGTGGGGTATCGTGCTTCGTTGAGACAGCAGTCTGACTATGTTCGATGTCTACGGCATGTCGTCCTTTGCGGTCATTGCGCGAAGTCCACTTGTAGCGGACATCGGGACGGTCGTCGTGACGATAGTGGGCTCGCGTGGGGTTGAGGAAAGGTATCGGACCGGTGACGCGATTGTCTTCGAGGCGTAGGCTAGTGCCGTGTCTCACTGGTTCGCGTGCCGGGTGGAAGGTTTTGTTGCGTTGCGTGCTGCGCGTGGCTGGGCCATCGCGACTTGTCATGTCAGCTAGCTGTCGTCAATTCGCGTAAGTGTTGCTGCGTTGTTAGCATTGGTAGAAGCTATTGGCATCCTCGCGAGAAAATTAGCGAAAGAATACTGTGAACCCATGTTTGGACGCGAAGATGCTGCCGGCCTGCGTCATAGCCCCAGATCGTTGGAGTTGTTAGCGTTCCCCAGCCGCCCGGGCGTGCTGAGTCAGCAATCTGCCTAATCCTCCGCACCTGCGCGCATTACCCTCGAACCACGCAGCTCCTCCCTGAATACGCGTCACAGACGACTACATTACTTGTCAAAGTGCTGCTGAACATGGGATACTCATAGAGTCATCGACAACATCTTAGAAACTTTCTGGTAGGTACTTGCCTAAGTAGGTAGCAGGAGATAGGGCAAGCCCGAGAATCGGTGCTGAAAGAGAATCGGTATGTCGCGTCTACATCCAGAAGCTAGTGGTTGTTTCGAGACGCCTGTGACTTTGGTCTTCTTCTAGATTTCCTTGCTATGGCAACTTTCTACTGAACTGTCGATCGCCTATAGATCTGCACTGACCTGGACTCACGCTAACTCGAAAGACTACAACAAGCACAGTAACAGTCGGCCAGCGCGAAGTAACTTCGAAACAACATGTTCGCAGGTTGGTCACGCACACTGATCCTGACTCTGCAGTCTGCTGACCCCAGACTAGAACGATGCCATCTCATCACGATGGATACGCGCATTCCGTCCAAAGCAGACGCGCCCGAGTACACCTTTGCACTTGCCTATCGAAAGCCCGTACGTACACACCTGGACCGAGTTCAGTGTCGGTGAGATCTAACAAGAAGCAGGAACCCATACCCAAAACCTGGGAGGCGATGGCAGGCGACAACGGCGTCAGTTTTCTCGATCTACCGCGAGAGCTAAGAGACATGATCTACAACTACATCTGCACCGACCTGCCCCAAATCGGAGACGGATGGCGCGATAAGCACGACGAAGGAAAATACGGTATCCCCGCCGCCACTGAGGCTCAGGCCGCTGTATTGCACGACTGCAATATCATGAGGACATGCCGCCAGGTGCATTGGGAATTCGCCGAAATGCTCTACGCGCAACCCCTCCAAATCTGCAGCCCCATATACGAGTTTCAGACTCAGTTCATCCTACCCGGCTCGCATATCCTGCCCTTGTCGCCAACATACGCACATCTTGTCAAGAAGGTGGCCGTCCTTCATGACACGGCTATCGGAAATGTTCCAGACGACTACTATTACCGCGCCTCAACGTCAGGTGATCATCAATGGCAGCATGTTGTCTCGGTCGCGACGCAGTTAGGAAAGCTTTTTCCTATGATTCAGACTGTGCGCGTGCTTCATCGTATCTGCCCACGGGATTACAGTTATGATACGACATTCCAGACTCTATGCGGACTACTTGGCGACAACAGAGAGGAGCAAGTCGAGAAGTCTGAAAAGTTTATCAAGGGTGTGTGTTGGAGTGATGGGAGACCCGTGAAGCTGCCACCGCAACTAGAGCTGGTGAACTTGGACTTCGACACCATCGTCGAAACCCCTTTGGTTGAAGCTATAAAGAACGTGCGAGCTGCAGAGCTGCAGAAGAAAGAGCTCAAGCGAAAGCTGCTCGTGTAAACTAGCTTCGCTAGCAAGCAGTCTGTCGTATGGTTCCAGATCAACACAAGAGAAACCGGGCAAGTTGAAGACTCCAATTTGAACTAGTGGTATCAAAGTTGAAGACTTCTTGCACACTTCCGGCGCCACAAGGTCATCACTAAACGCCACCGCTGTGCTAATGATACAGAAACCGTAGTAATAATACAAACAAACCCAACACCAGGCCCAGCCCGACCATCATTCCAACAACACATGATAAACATCATACATCACAAACCCCACCCTCACTTCGCCTTATTCTCCTTCCTCCCCTTCTCCCTCTCATCAATCTTCAACCCCCTAACCAACTGCCGTCCCATCATCCTCGAAATCTCCTTCGCATAATCCGTCATGCGCATGCTATTCCTCTCGTCGTCGCTCTTGCCCTCATACGCCTTCTCGCTGTATGGTGGCGGCGCATCTGTATACCGCGCGTACTCCGCTTCGATGCGCTGGAGGTTGGAGTTGGACGATGAGCTCGAGTCGCTGCGGTGGGCGGAGTGGTTTGACGAGTGCGAGTGTGTTGATGGACTGGGGAAGGACGTGTATGAGGAGTTGCGCGCTGCGGAGTCGTCTGTAGTGGTGGCTCCGGAGGGTCTTTGACCAGCGGCAGCGGCTTTGGCGATGGACGAGGCGGAGTCGTGGCGCGAGGAGAGCATCGAGGAGGGGGTTTCGCGTTCGTTGACGCTGACTTCGGGGTAGTGGTCCATTTTGGCGTTTGGGAATGACTTGATCTCGTAACAGCGGTGGTAGTAGTATAGAGACTAGAAAACAAGATCTGAGATCTTTTGTATGACTTGAATGTGGTGTGACTACTAGCGTCTTTCGATGATGGAAGTGTTATTGGTTGCGCGTGTCCTGCTGCTGCGGTCGATGGCTAGGATATTTAAACAGCTGCCTACTCATACCACGCACATGATGTAGATGACACAGACCCATACCAATCCTGTAAGTAATACTACGACGTCATTGCAGCGCCATCGTGCCCAGCCACGCTTTGGCTATCGCAGTCCGGATGAGGAAATGATGTGTGGCTCATCAGAAGACCACGCCTCAAAGACAGGAGTGCGTATAGTGCTTGTTTTCTATGACAAACTGGCGAAGACATTCGACAGCTGGCAACCTCACCCATGGACTGTTTAATGACACGCGATGATCTGGAAAGATGATGATGTTGAGGATGAACGTTATCGGGGAGGCGGACACGGAGCAAAGCGAGGCGCAAGCGAAGCGAAGGATGTGTGGCGTTGCGAAATGGATGGGTCCAATGATGTCATTCATCACCATCAGCCGTGCCGTGTCGCACAGCAAAGACCGGAAAGCTGAGCATGCAGATCACAGGACATGATGAAACAATAATTGGCATATACGAAATGATGGGGTATCTTGGGTCCACACAGTGGACCATGCGTGTAACGTGACAGAGTAGGAGATGGGCGGTAGGACGAAAAGCAGGTACTGAGCCCCAACCAACGAACCTCATGCCCTGACTAGACCCCTGACGGCGTTCTTGAGCTTCCCCAACCCCCGCGAACTCCTCTTGTGGGATTTGTGTCGCTCTAGCTCCATGGCTGTTGGCGCGTTGAAGTTGCCGCTTATTCTTGAGATCTCGTTCTGCGGATTGTGGTGCGCTGGTGATGGCGAATAGTAGTGCTCAGCTGATGAGAACCTCCTCGGACGCCCCGTGTCGTCATCAGAATACGACGATCTTAGATATGCTGAAATGACGGCCTGTTGAGACAGTTGCTCCTCGTCCGATGACCGTGGTGTATGGTGCAGGGTTGCCCGCGGTTGATGCGAGTCTGCACGCTTCCGGGACGAAGGCATGAACGATGCAGAGCGCTGATTTGGGTCTTCAGGTATATCGCTCATGGAGTATCTCGCTAACACAAAGTTAAGGATGGTGTTGGTGAAAAGGGTGTTCATCGCTTACGGTGTTGCCGTTGAGACCTCTCCTGCCGCTCTTGTTTCTTTTGCTTCTCCATGTTCGCTTTCTCGTGCCAAAGAGTCTGCAATGTATGATAATGCGCCGTTTGAGAATCTTGCGCAAACTCTTTCCGTGGGTGATAAAGTGAAGATGCGCAACGCTTGAACGCAATGAAACACAACAAGAACCTCGAAATTAAGGAAACACCCACCTTTTCATACTTATCAACATAGCCATCAAGTAACTTCGCCCAATGCACGTGGTACCATGGTAAAATACCATAATCCCACGTCATCGACTGTACCTCCCAATCAAGTTCATCCCACGAGAAGCTACAGAAGTCAAACCGCGGATCGGAAACAAGACGGGTAACCGGTCAACCTAAGCCTCGAGCGCCCCGCATGCTGCCAACTTGGCGGGCGATGATGTCCAGTTAAGGTTGCCTCGCATGGCATAGTACTTGTAGTGTTGGTGTCATCCGGGAGCCCGTATCCGCGGCTGAAGTGAGCGCTGGGTGATGTGAATGGCGGGGTTGGATGCAGGGCAGCCTTAGCCACGTCGCAAGCGATACACGGTGTAGATACGAGGAGATCGGCACAAGGCTGTGAGAGATCGTGAGATGGATGTTCTGGCGAGTGAAGTGCTGCGATGGTGGAGCGATGGATTATCATGACGATATTGGGTCAAGAACGCGACTGGTCGACGGACCTTCATACTCGGGGTATGTAAGGGAGGTGGCGCACGCAGCAGCCAAGACGCAATTCAAGTGCCATCATGATACGCCCGCAAAGAGTGTACGAGCTGTACAGTACTGTAAGACGCACCTCAGGTAGTGCGAAAGTTCTCAAAGGAAAACCGTTCGTGAGGGTGGAACAGGATTGGCATTGCAGGTGGGCATCTCGACATTAGACTGTGGGGGTAGGACCGAATAGCATCTGCCGAATTCCCATCGAACAATTCACCCTCATCTCTCCAAAGTGCGATCTTCGAAATTCGCCTTCATCTCGCGAGCAAGAAAGAAGCTCTCAAACACGTTCCGTCGTCCTGATGTACAGGGGGCTCATCTCCCCTCTGCCCTCGCTTCGCACCCTCGCACAGCCCAAAGTGGCAATAATTCCTTCCAAACACCCCCGTCGCTTCTCCTAACGGTGCACAGCCAACGTCCGCCGCCCTGCCCTTACTCTCCCACACAGCAAAGATGAACACACCATCGCGCGCCTGACTTTTCCTTCTCGAACGATGGAACAACTCACACCCTAAACATAGTAACACACGTGCAGCCACCTCACGTTTTTCTTCAAGGCACGCTATGGCGATCTGTTAGGGCCGAGGCGCAGCACAGCAGGCCGGCGGCCGGCCTCGGATGCCTGACCGCAACGCGTCCCACAAGTGGGCCTCCGAGATGATGATGGATGGGCGCTGACGCGGTGTTTTTCGAGCGCTCGACCGTCGGACTCAGCCCATGTGGGTTCTTTTCGATAAATAGGAGGAGGGTTTCACCATGGAATGTGGGTGAGCTGTTGATTTTTTGGTGGGCTTTGTTATTACTATTATCAAGCTCTATATATCGATTCAGATATTCTTATCACTATACAATACATTTGCGCAACTATCGACAGGGCATTGCATCTTCTCGCTCACACACACATCGCGGATTAATAGGGAAAGAGAAGTCGTCCGTAGCACTTGCAAGTTTTCTCGTACGTACCACCTCCACATCCTGTCATCCCGCAGCGGGACGCCGGCCGAGCAACAAAAAGCCCTCAACAAGCATCATCCCTAACGCGCTTCCAGGGGTCTACGCAACATCTTCCCTGATCCACCTTCAAAAGCCATCTAGAACCTGCCCACATAGCAGTCCTCCGGCCAGCCACCCCGACAACCAACCTGTTCTTGGCCCTCTCCAAACCCGTAAACAAAGCGTTACGGAACGAAAGGCATCTACCACCTGCCACCCGCATCCGAGCACACACAAATATATTCTTAGCCAGGACACGAGCATCAATATTGTTGTTGGTGTAGCTTTCCCTTCTCGTATTCAGCACAGTCGGTACACTACTACATACTGCCGTCTATTCTTAAACTTTCGGCCCTACCGCATCGTACCGTACCCGCAACCACTACCACCAAAAGCACGATACGATCGACATACCAGACCCTCGAAAAAACCTAAAAATGGATTCGCACGCGCAAACTACGACGATCAATACGCAAACATCGTCTGCATCGTCGTCACGAGACTCGTCGCCTAATACACCCATCACACCTTTGTCGCCGGCGTCATCGGCAGGTAGCGGATACTTCCACCGTTCGTCGTCCGGGCTGGCATCGCCGCAGGTGCCGTACCACATCATTGTTACGTTCGATGGCAAGGTGCGCGAGATGCTGCGGATAGAGAGGCAGAGTGAGGATATGGGTGAGGAGCGGAGGTCGAGGCGGACGACGCCTCGACCAAGGTACTATGCGAGGAATTTAGAGGAATAAAGATAAAGTTACAAGTTGTTGTTTGGATGGGTTGGCGAAAATGGCGTTTACGATTTTAATGACTTGGGCATACCGGAAAAGACGGTTCGCGATGTTGCGACTGTCATTGGCGACCAGGGATGGGATACAGAATCTGCGCGAATAGCTGGAATATTGTCAGTAATTGTAAATATAATCGAGAAGAAAGGTCTTTATTGTACCTACTACTGTCCACAGAATCCAACAAGAAGGAACTTCGCTACCTACAACCTCTTCCGCGTCATTCCACCTTCACTTTCTTAGGCGCAATATCGCAGTACACTCTCGGCGACGACGATACCTCCCTCTTCCCCAAACTCGAAAGCGTCCGCGACGCATTCTCGGAACGCTTCTCAATGCGAATGATGCAGCTCTGTTGGCCCTGGTCTTCATTCACCACCCACATCCTGATCTTATCCTTCTCGACGTCTCCACGACAGATAATATGTATCTTATCATCCAGCCCGTGTGGCCCCACTGCGAGAAGTCGTCCAGACGTGGGACCAAACGGCGGATCAACTCCGCGTCTACTCCGCGACAACCGGATTCG